TGATAAGGAATTTAAAGATGAAGATGCAATTGGTGATGAAACCCCTGAAACAACAGAAATGTCAGAAACAGAGGCTACAAGACCTGAAGAATTACTGCAAAGAAACGAGCGTGACGTTTGTCTGTCTGTGCCACATGACACCTCCATGTTTAAAGTGTCTACACCTGCTTATTCTCCTGACATACAGAGCCCAACTGCAAAGAGTTATTCTGAGATTAGCCTGGACAGTTTAATTTCTGAAAGTGAAAACCTTAAGGAAGATAAAAATCAGACAACCTTTAATGTGATTTCAGATAAACCATTGGAATCTGTGATGGAAGAAGTGGTTAAATCTGAAACTGCTCTGACTGAAGAAGTCAAAGATCCTCATCACCCTGATGGCAACCAAGCTAAACAGCACTTTGTGACTCAGGAAATCAAGGGAGGTGATGTTCCAAAAACTAAAGACAGCGGAGTCCCTCTACAAACTCGACTCTCATTAACAACTCCACCTTTTGAGTCCCAACTTCAGGACAATACTGTGAGCACAGATAAGCAAACCCATACTGTCACCGAATCCAGGGGAAATAGAAGAAAAATGGGATCCACTCGCAGAATAAAAGGAAGACAGCGTGATAAGGAATTTAAAGAAGAAGATGCAATTGATAATGAAACCCCTGAAACAACAGAAATTTCAGCAACAGAGGCTACAAGACCTGAAGAATTACTGCAGGAAAACAAGCATGATGTTTCTCTGTCTGTGCCACATCATGAAAAGTCCTTTAAAAATCAAAATGACGGAGATACTAAAGTGATTAATGATAAACCAGTGCAGGCTGGGATGGAAGAAGTCAAAAAAGATCAGCACATAAAACTTTTAGGGCAGGATGGAAATTTACCCAGCAATATTTTGTTAAGTGGAACAACAGATTGTACCATTGCAGTTGAGATAACAACTGACCAAACCAGCCCAAGAGAAAGCACTGAAGTTGAATGCAGTGTTGCACAAGAAACATTTTTAGCATCTCAAAATGTGTTGACTACAAATAGGGAACAACATGAGCATTGCAACCCAATTGAGGTCACCAAAGCTAAGCAGTCAGAGGGTGCATTAATGCATCAGACTGACTGCAGCGCAAGTACAGAGAGTCACCAAACATCCTTATCTGAAACAAATATCTCTTTGGACTTCCACCATCAGGATAATTCTCAGGACATTACAGAAATTCACACACGCCTCAGCCATACAGGGAATAGAAAGAAAATGGGTTCAAGCCAAAGAAATAAAGGAAGACAGGGTGTCAAGGACCCTGATGCATACCAGGAACCTAAAGATGACATTTTAGAAAAACCCACAAGTAATGACAAACTCAGAACAATTGACATGTCACCAGCAACAGATATAACAAAGGAGGAAGAAGAAAAAGACCTCATATCCATTGACAAAGAAGTGCAGATTAGCTCAACAGCAAAAGAAGGCAAAAATAAAGAAAAGTTGTTGGAGGAATATGCATTTTTCTCACAGAATAATATGGATAGCAATACAGATGGACTTCTCAAATCTAACAAAGATTTCAATGAGGAAAATAAAGTTGTTCAAGATGCTATGAATTTAGATCAGCTTACAGGATGTGACACAATTACAAAGCACCTGATGCAATCACCACAAGCCTCAGTTTGTGAAATTCCCTCAGACATGCAGCATACCTCATATCATGCTGGCATCGAAGGCTCTAGCTCTCTGAAGGTGCTTGATAAAGAAGAAGCATTGGAGGCAATGGATGCAAGCAACGGCCAGCAAGAACAAACTCAATCAGGTAACAGAAATACTTTCCAAATAAATCCACAACAGAAGAAGAGAAAGATAGGTTCTTCTCGCAGGAGTCAACTCAACAGAAAAAAAGAGGAAGAAACAGACAACACAGATGAAACCAAGGAAAGTGACTTTCACACCGAAGCTGACGTGAGGAATACTGACAAGTTGGACGTGGTAGAGTTACCGTTAACTACAGATATACCACAAAATGAAACTGCACAACCGTTATTCTCTGCTGTTCATAAACAACAGGAAGCTGCTGAAACCTTTTCTGTACCAAGCAGTACAGAGATCAATGTGATACCAGTAGTAGAAGATTTTAAGGCCCCTCTTCCTGAACAGTTTTCCTCTCTCCGTGAAGAAACTATCAGTCTGGTTACACACGTTATCACAGGTGGTGTAAGAGAAGTTATTGTGGAGCCGCCACAGCTAGACAATTTTACAAACACTGAGACACAAATAACCACTGTGGTCACGGGTAGAAGCAGACGCTCCATAAATCAGCTGCTGCCCCCAAATACCGAGGCTGCCACAGACACTGGCATAGCAGAAGAGAGCTTAGTGTCTTTTGGTGAGGCCAGGCAAAATACACATAGCGATGAGGAAAGGCCAGAGAGCATAAAAGAAGTACAAGATCAAGATGCTAGTGAGAAAAATCCAAGCAACTTGAATGAAGGAGCTCATAATAAAACTCAAGAGATGAGGAGTGAAAGTCCAAATTTACATTTGAGCAACCAGAGAAGAAAGATGGGCTCCACCCGCAGGAATCTTGGATCCAGAAACAAAGAAGAGCTCCATCAAAAACAGGAGGTGGATAACGAAGCAAAGGAGACTGGAGCAGACATCGGGGAAACTGAAAGTGTCTCCAGAATCAAAGAAGAAGCACTTCAGCTTCACACAGATCACAAAAACAATGATGGCGAACAAGGAAAACAGAAAGTATTTGAAACAGTGGAAATCAGCCCTCCGGGTCAGTCTAAATTCAAACCTCTGCCTGAGCAAACAGTTGAAGAGAGGCCTGTTTCCCAAGACCAGCTAGCAGAAACAGAACATCACACTGCAAATGACCTCCTGTCTACATCCTTAAAAGATGATTTTGTGTCAGAATCAACATCTGGAGGGAGGAGAAGAAAATTGGGATCTAACCGAAAGTCCCGTGGACATCAGCGTATAGAAGACAAAACAGGAGAGGGCACAATAATAGATGATCAAAGTGGGACAGATGCCAGAATTTCAGAGGTAAGCAGCAATGTTTAGGGGTTTTTGTTTAGTTTAGTTTTTTAGTATTTAGTAGAAATCTTAATTGTTTTCAATTTTTCCAAAACCTCATGCACAGACTACATTTAAATTTGACTATTAAATGCAATACCTTATTAAACTTTGTTGTATTTATAATTCTATGCATAGTTGTGAATAGTGAATAGTTATTATTGGACAAGTGTTCTTTCACATAGGCAAGCCTACATTGTTATTTACACCCCATTTGCAGTAGACACTTTGCAAACTGGGTTGTTTGTGGCAAGGTCATTGTGACACAGGGAACTAAAAAGAGGAACGTGAGGTTTACATAGCATGTTTCACATACAGCAAACGAGAACATGTGTTCACCTTCTTCAGAAACCTGGCAGATAAGGGCTTTGAATGAGATCAGCAAATAATGGCTTTAAAGATGTCACAATAAATTATTATTATCGACAAAGAATGGGAAACCAGTATGTCAGATATTCCAGCTTCAGATATTATTAGGAGACGACTGATTACTAGATGATAACTAATCCAAGTAGAATAATTTGCACTTTCACATCATGAAATGAGTTTGTCATGCACATTTAGAAGCATAAAAAGCCCTACTTTTCTTTCTGCAGGTTGGAAAATGTGATAAGAAACCATCATCAGGCCTCTCAAAGAGTGAAGAGCACTCAGAGACTGTGAGGTAGGTCTAACACACAGATATTTTTAAAAAGGCTGGGGTTGTCCAGCTACCTAATTAGCTTTCAAGTGTTGGCTTTCCTACTTGACTTACTCACTGTAACTCATAGATAAGTCCAAATTTGTTACAGTGTAGTCTGTTATGTGTTATACTGAATATTCGAATATTCATGTTCATATTGCATATATAGCAACGGACAACTGTAATATCAGTCACCACAAAGTTCACTTTGTAACATCCAAAAGAAAATGTCCATGAGATTGTTGAAAACATTTTACAATTTGTTAATCTATTTGAGTCACATACAAAAGGAAAGTATACCTGTTTTTTTTTATTCTGAGCTTTTACAAATAAAACATAATAACACTGTGTCATTATGTAGTTAACAAAAACTAAGCCAAAATTCAGAAGGAGTGTGTGTAAAACTAAGTAGACTTTTACTGCTTCAGTGTGACCACCTTTATAAAGCCAGAAGTGTCCCTTTCCCAACGATCCCTAAACATTCAAGACACCTGCTAATCTTCCCAAAAGTGAACGTCCCAACAAATTCACCCCTAGGTCAGACCATGCAATGCCATGCTGCCAAGAGAAATCCTCTTCTCTCTAAAAAGAACGTGGCAGCATAACTGAAGTTTGCAATATTGCATCTGAAAAAGCCACAGACTTCTCGAACAATGTCCTTTGCACAGATGTGACCAAAGTAGAGATGTTTGGCCATAATGCACATAAAATCCAGGCCTCAACGTAAATTAAATGTGGTAGCAAGAGCTGTGCATTAACAAATGCCTGCAAACCTCAGTAAAAAGGAACAATGTCTGAAAGAAGAGCGGGCCAAAATTCCTTCACAGCAATGTGAGAGACTGATAAAGTCACAGAGAAAACAATTACTTCAACTTAATTCTGTGAAAATGCAGAATCATAGGGTGTGTTTAGTTTTTTGCACACTGCTTCTGCATTTTGACTTGACTGTTCCTCTGACGCTGTAGTTAAAATAATTTAAGAACATGGTAATGACCGGATGATTTCTTGTTATGCCTTGATAAGGTAAAAACTTGTGTACCGCATGGTACTTTCTTTCTTTTTGCAAGCTTTAAAAATACAGTTATGCAATTACTACTGTACACTAGCTTAGCAGTAGTGTATGCACTGTTTTCAGCTGACCTGCTTAGAGATGAGGTGTGAATGTCACCAGAGTGGTGTGGTTTAACAGCACACAGCTTCCTCATCTCTATTGTTTTAAATAAATAATCACAAATCAAGTGAATGACAAAATTCCTTGTCAAATGTTCAGTGCACGGCAACTCAAATATGAGCTTGAGACATTCTGAAAACTGACCATTTCAGCCTTTGATATCCTTACACTGTATATGTCATGAAGTTTGTTTGATTGTCTTTTCCACAGTGAGAAGACTTCAGCCCAACCTTGTAATGCTGGAATCTTTCCTGTTAAAGAGAATCAAACATTTTCTCTGGGTAAGAAGATGATCAGTGCAGCTTACCAATAATTATAGGGAAATTTTACATTAAAAGATGATGTATGACCAGACATTTTAATTTCAGTTGGTAATCCGGGAGTGGTAGACCCCAAATCAAAGCGCTACAATGTGGTAATGATTGGAGACAGCAGTGTGGGAAAGACCTCCTTCATGAAAAGAGCTCAAAGTGGGAAGTTTTCTTTAGATATACCTTCCTCAATCGGTAAGATCCTGGTGTTGATCTCACAATTAATCCTACTAATGTGTATGCACAGCGATGTACATGCTAAATATACACGTAAATATTGTTTATAGGCCTGGATTCGCTGATGTGGCCTGTTGTAATAGATGGAAAGCCTATGATACTACAGCTATGGGACACAGCAGGTCAAGAAAGGTAAGTCTCAATTTTCCTCTTAGAATGAATCAGTGAGACAAATTTTTGATGTTTCACAGAACATTTAAATTATATATCACTATGCAAATGTCTTGAGCCACTCTACGTTTCTTTATATTTTGATAGCAGTAATCTGCTGTAGATTGGTTTGTAAGCCTGCCAGTTATTATTTGGTCCTCCATTTGTCCAGTTTCCTAAATTTGTAAGGACACACAGCACACCATGCCAAGAAGTGACAAAACAATTGGAAACTGGCAACTCTTTAGGAATCATGTTGTTGGTTAAAATAAAAGCATAACAGTTTTATTGACTGTCAAACTGTGTTATTTTTTGGCATTTTTCATAGATTCAAGTAAAGAAATGGGAACAAATTATGTTTTTCTGACAGGCTGCTAATAACAAAGTGCCCAAAGATACAGTTTAAAATGGGTTCTTTGCTAAGTGTTTCCTTGCTGTAGACAAAACAATGTATTTCCCCTTGAGTCAGGTGCCATGTTATGCCATCTACGCTTGAATTATTCAAAGGTCAATTTTATGGTACAAGGACTGGACTAAGAATGAGTGAAAAAGTAGCCAATATCCAAAGGAAAACTTTGAAACACCTTCAGAAAGCTGGAGAACTATTGCTTAAGACCACTTTAAGAATTACAAGAAAGTCCTTCCAGGCAAAATATAAAGTAATGAGGGGTTTATCAAGACTTTTGCACAGTTTTGTCGCTGAAAGAAGCCAGGAGAGAATACATTTAACAGGTTTTTTGAGTTTTATTAATGTTTTTTCTAGTCTGTTTTGAACAGTACATATATTATAATGTACGTAGGTCACAGTAGGCTGCCTGTAGGAGAATAACAAATATCACAGTCGTCAGTGTGTTACGTATGACAGTATCAAAGTCCAACTTGTCTGACTTTTCACAGCCCTGGAATTCAGGTTATCTTTTACATTTCACGTTAGTTAAATTCTGTAAATGAGCAACTTGTCTGAGTATAAAAACACTGGGAGCAATACGTCTGCATTTCTGTGACGTCATAAAGACAAAAAGCACAGTTTGTCCATTAAAGTGCGTTAATTATCTAGTTGAAATTCTGCATTCTGCCAAGCCTTGTGATTTTCTCCTTCATAGCATGGGTTTGTCAGGAGTAGAATTGAGTCAGGTGGAAAAAGCAAAGATGACTTCATAATGAGTGCAAAAAGTCTATCCTTCTAATAAAGCAAGAAAAATGGCAAAACCTGTGCATGACAGTTCATTTCTGCTTACTCATTTCTATCATACTGCTCATAAAACTAAAAGTTAACTACAGACTTGTACGCACGAGTCCCAAACTACAATACAGCGACATATCCTGAAGGAAACATACATATCCAGAGAGAGAGGAAAAAAAGAAGCAAATTTCTATATCAAGGTTTTCTAAACAACTACTGCTTTTTGGAATTTGTTTGAGCCAGACGTGAACAGTTTTATATCTGTTTTGTAAATAAAGCCAATCATCAGAGAAGACGCCATCTCTTTTTTAAAGGTACAGGCTATTATTTTGTGGTTTATGATGTCCTGAATGTTGTGCCACATGCAGTCTTGCTGTTCTAGGGAGTGGCTGTGTTTTTTCAGTGTATAGATAAACTTCCCCGATGGCCAAGGACACACTGTCCCGCTGTTCCGAAGCCTGACAAGGAAGGCTTCCAAGTAGGCGACACCCAGTGTTCAAAGCAGTGTGCACACCTTGGAATTCAACCGAGATCTGCAGTTACTACTTGTAACAGTGTTTACTTACACTTGCTTTTGTAGATAGATACGGTATAGCAGCCAATTTCAACATGTAACAGACAATATGCTCAGATCAGAGTCTGTGTATTTAAAGACTGCTCAAGTGTAACTGGTTTCAGAATTGGTTTGGCACTCCTCAGTAATGTTTTGTATTCCAGAATACAATGCAGATTTTGTTCCAGTGACAGACTCAACACGGATGCAATTTAAAGATGCTCACTTTTAACTGCAGATTTTAGGCAGACTCGTGTTGGATAAGTTAAATTACAATTAAAAAACATAGCAAGAGTGAGAAAGCGTTTGAGACATGCAGTTCCCCAAGAGTTTACAAAAAGCCTCCTTAATGTCAACAATAAAGTGAAGCTTTATTCCAACTCTTCACCTAATGGGCAGGCTTCTAAGATCTATTTATTTTATTTTTGCTACAAAAACATCTGACATTTACTTGTTCAAGGAGGGAAGTCTGAGACATGGGTGCGTCTTGAAAAATATGTTCAGGGTAGGCTCTGCAAACTGCATTAAATGACAAATTTGTGACATTAACTTTTGAGTGAATGTGAGGAAAGTAATTCGAATGTGCTACAGTATGCAGAGCTAGTGTCTTCCTGGTTTCAAAAAGGAAGGATTAATAGATCACCTTTAATGTCGTGCTTTTCTGTCTTTAAAGGTTTCACAGTATCACCAAACAGGTCTTCCACAAAGCCCAGGCCTTTCTCTTGATGTATGACATCACCTCCACCAATAGTTTTTCCGCAGTCAGTTACTGGGCAAACTGTATTCAGGTATGTCTTCCCTTTCAAACTTCAACACCTATTTTTTAAACAGATGTTGAAATTACTAGTTAAACATGCTATGTTGTCAAAACAGTGATTTACTTTTATATTCATTTAGTGTATTTAGTTCTAATAGGCGGGGCTACACTGGCCACTTCATTAGCACACCTGTTCAACTGCTTCAAAAAAAGGAATGAACTAAGCACATGCAAGTGCATTGTAGACATAGTGAAGACTACCCGCTGATGTTCAAACACAGCATCAGAACAAGGAAGAATGATGATTTAAGTTAACTTTGAACATGGTTGTTGGATCTATTTCAGACACTCATCTACAATAAACTTTTCTCTCACAACCTGCCTTGTTGCGAGAGATCAGAGAATGGTCAGGCTGCTTCAATCTGATAAGCAGGCAACAGTAGTTTTAAAAAAATTACAAATAACCACCATAAGGTATGCAGATGAGCATCTCTGAATGCACAATACTTATCAGCTTTGAAGGAGAAGGGCTACAGCAGCAGAATAACCCACCGGGTGCCACTCCTGGCAGTTAACAACAGGAAATTGAGGCTACATTCACACAAGCTCATCACAGTTGGTTAACGGTAGTCTGGAAAAACGTTGCCTGGTCTGATGAGTTTCGATTTCTGCTGCAGCATTCGTATGCTGAGGTCAGAATTTGGTGTAAACGACATGAAAGCATGGATCAGTCCTGCCTTATTCAGGCTGGTGGTGGTGTTTAATGTTTGGGGTTTTTTTGGCACACTTGTCAATATGGACCAAACTCTCTGGGAAATGTTTTCAGTGCCTTGTTGTATCAATGCCAGGAAGAATTAATGTTGTTCTGAAGGCAAAAAGGAGTCCAACAGGGGTACTAACAGGTATACCTAATAAAGTGGCTTATAAGTGTGATACTGAATTGTGTATTTAAAACAGCAGCACATATTTTGATTCTTAGTAGAAAAAAGTATTAATAAATTTAAAACATCAACTATTTATAGTGGACGGGACGTGAGTGTCTGAAACAGTTGAACCAGCCTGCAAAGTTAGACTAGTTTGTAATAACATGTGCAGATTATCAAAATGATTCCTGTTCTGCAGGAGTCTGCTGCTGAAAATGTGACTGTTTTGCTTCTTGGAAACAAGAGCGACTGCTCAGAACGACGGGTTAAAACTCATCAGGGGGAAATTCTTGCTAAGGTGCGAATATGTTGCATTACACCCACTCATGAAACAATCACATTCAGTTCAGTAGTTTTAATGATCAAAACACCCACAGTGAGTGCAGATATTCATTCAACTCCACAGGAATATGACTTTGAGTTCATGGAGTGCAGTGCTGCCACGGGTGAAAACGTGATCCAGTCTTTGGAAGTTGTAGCCAGGTATGTATATAATTTTATTGTTTTTCTCTAAAACCCACATCTTTTAACATCGATATGCCCTGTAAAGTTGACTGCTGTGTCATCAGCTGATTGCACTGTTGCTGTGTTGTTGCCAGGAAGCTGAGTCAAAGAATTGACTCAAGAGAAGAAGCCACAGTGTTGCACAAAGAGCCAGAACAGAAAAAAAACTCAAGATGTTGCTGAACAAATGTGTTTGTCTTAAAAAAAAAA